GTGACCGAAACCTCTCCCTGCCAAAAAGACTGATAATGTCAAAAAGAATTGTGTAAAATCATATTAGTGTGAAAGTAAAGTTTTCCAAAATTCCTGAAGACAGAAAGACCTGGAATGAACTTGCATCCTCCCTTCTTTTTTGTGTCCCTCCCTGCAAATCACCCCTACCCCCAGACCTCAAATAAATTTTATTACTTTATGGAAATAATTTTGCATTAAAAATATTTTTTTCCAAAATTGAGGGAAAGTAAGACGAAAATGCTTTAGGAAGATGCTGTTAAAGGAAACATACATGGCATCTCCCTTAAGTTAGTATTTATTCTGAAGAAAAAAAACATGAACTTTTTACATTTCTACACCTTTAAAGTAGGCGACAAACTTAGTGTTTTGAAAACAATGGCTACATTATAGAAAAGAAAAATAGTAAAATATGCTTCGGAACTGCATCCATCCCACTGTTAATAAAGATTTGGGGGAGTAAAGAATAGTAATAATAATAATAAAAATATAATAAGCTAAAAAGGGAGAGTGGCCTCTTGTTTCTGTTTTTCTCTTATTTAAAACCAATTAAAATTCTATACATTCTAAAATGAGACAAACAAGATTTATCATAGTTTCATGCTATCATATTACCCCCCTGCAGCGAAAGAAAATATTTGGAGTTGTACCTAAAAATTCTATCACTGGAAGATTTTTAGAAAACCAGTTTTGTATGTTTCAGGCTTTCAAAGGAAAACAGAACTTGGGAGTTGTCAAGGCTGTTTTAAAACAACTGGCAAGTTACCAACTCCGGCTATCAATGCAAATCTGAGGCAGGAAGTACCAAGGAAATTCTAAACTCATTCCCTCCCTCTGAAAGATTTTCTACATTTTCATGTATAAGGAGTGTGTTAAGAGGTTGTTTTGTTTTGCTTTTGAAAGATCTGTACATTCACATCTTAAGAATATCCTTTACCCTATAGAAGCCTCTTTCTTTGCCTACTCTCACTCCGCCTGTTTTCAAGTGTTTGTTCTTTCTATGGCACAATCCACTGGTCTCCAACTAGACTTTCAGAGCTGGGAGGCAGTCCGGGCTGCAGATGGTTGAAACTTCAGCCTGAAGTCAGTGTACAGCTGATGAATTACTCCTTACACCTGACCCCTTCTTCACACCAGGCTTTGAACACAAGCTGAGTACCACCAGCCAGAGAAACCCTGATAAGGTCTTCTAATCTGAACTCCTTTCTTCAAGACCTTTGGGGAACCAAATGGCCAAACAAGGGAATGCAGCAGTGTGATTGGAAACTATGTATGGGATTGGTAGAAACAGTGAACTGGTAAGGGTATGATGAAAAAGAAAGGAGAAACTTGTGTGTGCTTGGGTGATTTTTTAAGTCTTATGAAGATGACTAAGTTTTCCAAGTATCACATGTTAGAGAAATATCTATTTCTCAACTGCAAAATATCAATTCACCAGGCTGTGACCACGTTTTGCTCTCTTTAGCTTTCCTTGTTCAACTAATTATTTTTTTGAAGACACCCCCCCCGACCCCACCTGCTGCCAAAGTACCTCAAATTCAGAATGAAATCCACCTTGGATCTCATAATCCAATAGCAACAAGTTGGTTTTTTGAAAGGGCTATAACAAACTGCATTTTGTATTTTGTTATTAAGCTAATGAACTATTTTGGGGGCCCCCTTTCTCTACAACTTTCTGATTATTCTGGGTGGCCTTCCAAACAGCGAATTTGCTTTGATAAACTTCTTTTATAATTTGGTCGTGTCTCTTATTTAACTATTATAACATGTCACTAAGATTTCTTCATTATTCCTTAACCAAAAGCATAGGTTCCTTCTTGAAATTGCTTTTATTGCTAGGAAAAAAATTGGTCAAAACAAAATTGAGAAATGACAACTTTTAAAATATGAGTTGTGAAAGAGTGAGCACGCTGTAACAACACTGCTACGAAGAATAGCTACAAGTCAACCACTCGTTTTTATCTTATTTAACTTATATGTACATTTTCTAATATAAAATATCTTAAACATTTGGAAAATTATTCAAAGGGATGGAGCATAAATGTCATTTCTCCTTTTTAAGAAGCAAAGTTAAGAGATTGGTTCTAATGTAATGGGAAATAGAAAAAGACAAGGCAGGAAAGTGTCACACGTTTCTCTAAAACTTTATAATATACATTTGAGGAATGGAAAACATTTTCATTTATTTTAAAAATCCTACTTTCATTTTGTTTTATTATAAGAAAATAGCAGCTATATTTAACATTACACATATTTAAGTAGAATGAGTTCAGTGTTTTTGCATTTTCTGAAAGAATACAATAATAAACATTTCAATTCTTTAAAATCTCATGAAGATTCCCCCCCAGAACTGTCAGCAAACAGTTCCTGGAGACAGAGGAAAACACACACACACACACACAAAAACAAAACAAAAAAAAAACCACACCTGAATTTGGAACACAATTAAAGCTTTAAATCACCAGAATATGATTTTTATCTACCATAGAATTCTATTTTTACCACCTATAAGAATTCTTTACATATGAGCATCATTTTAAGCAGCTATGATTTAAAAATTGGATTGTAACTGTAAGCAATGGCTACAAGAATAGATTATATAAATTCTACCCAGGCTTACCAAATAAATATAAGCAGCACATACTTTCTTTAAAAATTATTATAAATTATATTTTGAGACATAAGTGCAGAAGGGGCAAAAAGTGATAAGAAAAAAAGCTAGTTGTTTTCTTTTTCTACTGGGGCATGATTGATAATGCTTCATTATATAGTATTAAGCCTGTCGGAAAGACCCCACGTTTTAAAATATGATTGCACATTGACCCTTCCACTTATTCTCTCTGTACCCAAGTTTCACAACAGGACACATTTTCACATCTTCAGCTTCCAGGAATGTTATTAATGTCTGTCATTTCAGAGCCACCGTAACAAGATTTGACAATTTCACAGCACTGTCGAAATTTTACAACATAATAATCAATATGAACCACCACGATAGCCAAAGTAGATAATCTTATATTCCCTGCTACCCTTAACTTTACCAAAATATCAACTTAGAAAGCCTAATGGATTTAACTTTTTCAAAAATGTTCCAGAAGTTGATAGCTTTGGCCAGCTTGAAAGTAACAAGATCCAGATGCCAAGATCCAGATGCCGCCTGTCTACACGACACTAAACTACATAGGACCCCAAAACAGATTTTAGAAAACCTCCCTCTATGTTTTTCAGGCTCTCCCCTTATCCATCACCACTCCACTCTCTCTCTTACCCTGCCCCCCAACACACATACTTTCTACCAGTGCAGCTTATCCAGCACACCCTGTGTCTTTGATATAATGTGTACAACATTTATTATTTCCTGTTAGTAATAGGTTAAAAGAAATCTCACACAGAAAAAAAGAATAACTTCATTCATTTCTATCTAAAGTTTCTTTTCTGAAACACACATGATAGTAGAAAACAAGGACCAAAAACAAAGCGTGATGTTTGAAACATTTGGAAAAATTTAGCCAAATGAGTAAAAGGGATGGAATGTCTGATATTTTTCAGGAAACCCTTGAGTTTATTGTTTTTGTTTCTTTGGGGGATGAGAAACGAGTATAAAATTTCCCCCTTTTAACCTGTCCTTGCTTTGCCATTTCCTTGAGAAATGGCAGGCAGCATTCTCAACCCAATGCCCCAAAGAGTTAAAACTCAAGGCACTGAGCAGGAGGGCTGATCTATTTAAGCAGCAGCACAAACTAAATGCTCACAAAGGCCAAAAGCAATGTGAGTCGACCTTGGAGGGGCAGGGTGGACCATAGAGCAACTGGAAAATGAAAAAAAAAAAAAAAAAGCAACAATCTTTAATATAATACTGAAAATCTGCTGCCTGGTCTGGTTTACAAATAGGCATTGTCTGATGAGACAGAATAACTGAGAGATAACTACAGCATGAATTACCAAGCCCTAATCACATCAGCGAGTTGTGGTGACAGCACAGATCACTCGGGCACGCCTTGTTCACTCTCAGCATATTTATTTATTAAGAAGCCATGATACAAAATAATATCATCTGTGCACTCAAGGTGGTAACTCTACCAACATTTTTCCCTCAAATCAAGTCCAATTTAATTGACAAATTGGAGCAGTGATTTCACACCTGAGAGTCTTTCATGTCTTAACTGCAGGATAAAGTTCAGGGCTGGCACTGCCCACTGTTTAGTTATGTGGGCTTGCCTCTGGGCCCCTAATGATCATTTGAGCACACACACATAGACCCTAAAGTATTTAACCAATTCAAGTCCAATTATTATCAGTTACATTCCATCCCTTTTCAAGATGCAGTCCTCCTGATGGCAGCTAACACAGAAAAACAGCTTCTAAAAGAAAAGAACATCTATTATAAAGCTCCAAATTCAGTCTCTAGCATCCTGAGCATCTTAAAAATATGTAAAGCAAACTAAAAATAAAAATACACCCAAACAAACTCTAAGAGTCTTTGGTAGATGTCCCATACCTTCTCACACCTTCCTTTCACCCTGTACTCAGTGATTAAAAGTTTGAGTCGCCCCCATCCTGGCATGTCCTATCCAGTGGGAAAAACCCTTTTAGAGCCACAAACAAAGAACTGCTCACCAGAAAAGCCCCTGAAATTACACTCTTGTGCCTGAAAACCACTGTTGTGATCTCCTTTCTAAAAACCCTGCCCATCTGCAGAGGACTTTACAAATATCAGGAACATTTATGCTGCCAAATAACAACAAAGGAACTCGAGTGAAACTATTATCTCTCCTTAAAGAGAAAGCTACCATTCCGGGTTTGCTGCTTTCTTCTTCTATCTTCCCCTGCCTCATTAACTCCATTGGTATGTTACTAATTTCAAAGAAACAGGAAGAGGTGACGGGGGTGGGGGCTAAATAATAATTCACATGCCTGTCTGTTTCCCATCCCAAGTGCAGAACGATACCACACTGATTGCCAGACCGTGGGTCGAGCCATACCTTGGTTTGGAGATAATGAGGATAGTAGTAAGTGTACTGGGGGTACATTTGTGGCTGATCCAGGCGTTTGCCCATGTAGCTGGAATCTTTATCTCCGAGGCAGGGAACTGGATGACAGGGTATAGTGCCCCAGGCCGAGCTTCCTCTTAAACCACTATTCCTGACAGTCCCGATGACTGATGAGGCTTCAGAGACTCCACCACTCGCTAGTTCCAACACGGCAAGAATTTCCAAAACAAAACAAAACAAAACAAAAAACACACACACCAGCAAAAAAGGGGGGTTGGGGAGGGTGGAGCGGGATCGGTAGGAAAAAAAAACCCCACACAGTCTCCCCAGATCTTGCCGGGCTTCCCCCAGCTGCTGGGGTCCACTCGGGATGAGGCAGTTTGTTCTCTAACCAGGCTGTCTGTAGTGATGTCAATTGCCAGCGTTTGTAGAGGTGGAAAAAAAAAAAAAAAATCAAAGTCCTTTTAGCACAACTCCGAATCCTTGCAGATCAGCTTCCTGTCTCCTGTTTGTCTCTTTCCCCACCTTAAAGAAAAAGAAAAAGAAAAAGAAAAAAGAAAAGAAAGAAAGAAAGAGAAAAAGGAAGGAACAGAAAAAAAAAATAAAAAAAGAAAGAAAGGGAAAAAAGAAAAAAAAAGAAAAAAAAAAAAAAACCTTGCACAGCTTAGTTGCTGCTGTCTCCCTCCCAGAGTGACATGGTGTTCGGGGCTTGTCCTGTCCTTTCATTCACTTCCCCTCCTTCCAGCCGGTGGGTGGAACCGAGAGAGTCTCTCCAGGGAGCAGCGTACGCAGTCCAGAAGGCTGCAGTATTTCCTCCAAGAGAAAAAAAAAAAGGCTGCTTCAACCCCTGCTGCAAGCAAAGTTCCGATTCCCTCTGCTGGCTATCTCGAATAGCAAAGCGATTTTTGTAGCAAAGCTGCTGCCGCTGGAACTGAACCTGAAGAACTCAAATGCGGGCGGTGGATGATTTCTTATCCCTCCCCACCGTCCACCCCACAGGAGAGCTGCCTTCTTTCCTTTTCTTGCCAAGTTCCAAGGTAAGCCACACCACTAAACTAAACACACAAGACCACGGGAGGGAAGAGAGGAGGAAGGGAGGAAGGAGTAAAGAAGGAAAAAAATTAAATATAAGCAGAAGAACTAACCTTGAGGGTTAAGATGGAAAAAAAATTATGTCCCCGATGCTTTCAAAACCTGTTAATGCACTAAAGCCAGATGAATCCAAGACCTGATTGAGAAACTAACCTTTTACTTCCTGGAGGATCTGGAGGATGCTAAGTATTGAAGAAATTGTAAGGTCTACTCCAGGACTATCGTTAACAAGGCATGCATCACCAGATCTTACTGATCAATTGAATATATCAGAAACAATAATTCTTATCGTTACATCCCATTTGTAAAAATCAGAGGAAGTGACCCCTTAGGTTTCTCAGCTTCTTTATAAATGAAATCACTGTGTCTCCCATTGTCTCTCTCGTGATGATTATTTTGACTCGCGGATGCTTTAATCATTTTACTGATATCATCTCAAAAAAAAAAAAAACACAAAAATTTCAATTACTTGGCAGAGTTTTTTTCCCACCAATAATAATATTCTGCCATGTCTATCAGCTGCTATATTATAATACAAATTGTTTCAGAGAAAATGTATTTCCTTAAAGGGTCCCTTTTCAAGGCGGGCAAGGCTAAAATTAGATGTGCCAGCTGTGTTTTGCTGGGAGTGCTCACGCATGCCCAAAGCGTGGGCAGACCAACATTGAGCTCCTCTCGACTTTGTCAAGTCGGCTCTGTTCTCTCCAGCCTGGAGTCGCCTTTTCAGATAGAAGATTCTTGTTCAAATCTAGCTTGCTAGTTAAGAAGAACAGAGAATTGGGGTTCAGCGCACACATGGTGTCCATCTACCTACAAACCCCACTGCCCCTGAGGCAACTGGTTTCCGCTCGGGAGAACTGATTCCTAGAAGCTGTATGAGTGCATGTGTGTTCCTTGGTGAAAGATAAGGATGGCCAGTAAATAGTTTTATGTTTTACTTTTGACAAGAATAATAATCAGGAGGAAGGAGGGAGGGAGAGTAAGAGTTAAGAGGTCGGACAACACTGTAATTGAGAAAATTAAATCACCTCCATTCATTCTGATCCTCAGTTGTCCCATCTATAAAATGGAGATACTCCCAATATACCAGGCTGAAGGCAGTAAACTGAATCAGATACTAAAAATTGCATTGATTTAAAAATCCATCGGTGGCATCACATTGAGTCCCAACTCCTAGAAATAGTTTTCAAGACACTTGGCCACCTGGTGATCCATGCTTCCTGCTCCAATCTCCGAACTTAAACTCTGCCCCTCACATTCCACAGCTGAGTCACAGGGAGCTCTTTTCAAGACATGCTTGTGCTCTCTCAGGGCCTTCTGTCATTCCTTCCGTCAGCGATGCTCTCCCAACCCCTCTCCACTGCCCATCCTTCAGGTCCTCGGAGCAGCTTTCCCTAAATCCTTCCTTCCCTGCTGCACTTTATATTTGCCCTAATAGAATGCTTGTTCTGCTGTATTTGTCTGTCTCTTGCTTGTGTCTTTCCTTCTTTTCTAAACTCTGGAATAGCAGGAGGTCACATCATTCTTGTTGACCTTCATATTTCCAAAAACTAGCATGGAGTCTGGCACAAAACGGATACCCAGGAAATGTTCGAAGAATAAAATGTTTGAAACATGATAAATAATTTTAAACTGACTCATATCCTTCTTTCACTACATTTCAGTCCTTGCCACAGGTCAGGAGCTAATCTAAATGCAGGGGATATAGAGACACATGGATGAGGAAAAGGCCCTTCCTTTATAGACTGCATATTCTAGTGGGGGCAATAAAGAAATAAGCAAATAAATATGCAGTAAACGATCAGGAGATGTTTAGTGCTGTAAGGAAATGTGAAGCAGTGTAAAGAGAAACAGAGTCATAAGGATTCTATTTTAAGTAGGATATTCAGGAAGATACCCTCCAAGGAAGAGCCCTAAGGTTAAAGCAAGGGTGTGAACCATGTCCTGGGTATTGTGTACTGTGAGAGCACTTAGTGTTAAAACCTTGGCTCCTACCCAGACTGCCTGGGTTCCAGTCCTGCCTCTCCTGCATCCATCTGCTTTGATTTCTTCATCCATCAAATGTCACTATCCACTCTACACAGTTACTACGAGAATCAACCAAGATAAACATGTGAAGCATTTAGAACACCTTGTTTGTAACATGTTGCATCTGCTCAATAAATGCCAGCCTCCATCCCAGTCAGAGGGAATAGCAAGTGCAGGAAGGCCTGCAGGGAGAATGTGTCTTTGTAACATGCATGATAGGGCACTGAGGCTGGAATAAAATGAGGGAGGAGTAAAAGCCATAAAACAGGGCTGGAGAGGTGCCCTGGGGCCAGATCACATAAGTCTTGGTAAGGACTTGGTATATAGTAAGCTAAAATAGTGACAGTTAATAGCACAACAAGGACTCTATCCAAATATTCTGATTCTAGATGCAGTCATCTTCAACTATAGAATGCTGTCATCCTGCAGCATTCTCCAACTTCTAAGACCTATAACATCAGGATCCTAGATGGTTTTTGCCAATTCTACCAGAATGGACAAAGGAAATCAGTATTATTTTATTAATAACTAGCCAGGTGGGGCTTTGGGGACATAATTAGGTCATGAGGGTAGAACACTCATGAATGGGATTAGTGCCCTTAAAATCTAGCCTTGATATTCCTTGAAGGGAAAAGAATAGTCTTATTTACAAATCAAAGACCAAATAACTTCTCAGCCGAAGCTATAGCCCACTCATATGTAAAGTTCCCAGCATGTGTTGATGCTATTCCTTGAAGGGAAAAGAATAGTCTTATTTACAAATCAAAGACCAAATAACTTCTCAGCCAAAGCTATAGCCCACTCATATGTAAAGTTCCCAGCATGTGTTGATGTTATCAGCAATTTTTACACAAATTGCTACTTTCCAAAATGCTATTCTATTTCACTACCTTATTGTAATGTTCTGGTCATCAATTGTCATTAGCCTAAGAACACTCATTGCACACTTAAAGCTTTTCTTAAGTAATGCAAAGTGGATTTACCTCTAGTGAGAATTGTAAAACCTGTGTTTTTATTTTTATTTTTTTTATTTTTTCCCTCAGAGATACCAGTAGCCATGGCGATTCAGGAGACAAGCTACTCGTGTCAGAAATAGTTTTTATATCATTTCTGCTCTGTTGGAGCAGTAGTGCTTTCCATTTAAATGATCAAGTTAAGGTAGGAGGTAACTGGGTTAAGGCACTCTCTAACTCAGAAGCCAGCTGCGTCCCATTTACCAACTAACCAACAAATATTGTACAAATCCAAAAGCAGCAAACTGCATCAAAGGGCATAGACTCTTACAGATACACATGATTCACAGCCCAGACAGAAAAGCACTCATTTAAGACAAGTTTTTGACTAATAAGTCTGAGATGGTGCCTCAGACATGCCATTGGAAGGTGGGGAAGTGGTAAAAATGAAATGAACGTCAATTGGGAAGAGACAGAGACTCTCTTCTGGCTTCCCTTGACCTATACACACAAAGAATAGCTGAGTTCTCGTTGGGTGATTTTTTTTTTTTTTTAATTATAAAGACTTAGTCAAAAGCAAAAGAAAAGAAGTCTAGATATAAAGAAAAACGATAATTCTACCGTCTTCAAGAAGACATTCATGACACTGAATAAAATTTTTAAAAATATCTTGGGATTTCCTGCCCTCTTTATTCAAATTTGTGAAATACCTTTCAACATAGCATTTGCCAAAGGGATGTTAAACATAAAAGTTGTTTAAAAAAAAAAAGACAAGATGGTAGATTTCAAATTTCAACATTAAGATAGTATTACAACTTTCTTTTCTCCTACTGAATACTTATCAATGGTTTAGGAAAACACCCAAGACAAATAAAGAGAAAGAAACAACTAGTGATTCAAGCCTGTGATATCCAAATTAAACTTTAATTGATTATAAAACTATTAGTGTTAAACAATAAAAATTGGCCTGGAAGACAATTTCAAACCTCTGGACAATATATTATAATAGAATATAGTTTGAGACATTTAATCAGGTAGAAAAGTAAGAAGAATTAAAAACAATAAGCATTACAAGTATTAACTTCAATAGAGTTTTATTGAGCACCTATTGTGTACCTAAATAATCAAGGATTCCAATATAAATATTATTACCCTTGTCCTCAAATAGACCTAAAAACTCTATATTTTCCAAACATCAGCCTTCATGAATGACTTTAATATTTTTTCTCATATTTGAGTACTGATTTGTAACAATAGTTATTAAATAGTTTTCTTTAAATCTACTCAATTTGTTTTCTGGAATACATACTTCCTTATAATTCTAAGCAATAATATACATAAAAGCTCATGTTTATTTTGCTTCTATTATCTTTGTAAAAACTATGTACCCTGTATCCTCTCACTCTATATACATACATTTTTCATAGCATTTGATACTTATGGTAGGCACATCCAGTTCTTGTTTACCACTAGTAGAACCAA